AACCCTAAACCCTAAACCCTAAACCCTAAACCCTAAACCCTAACGCCTTGACAGCGTTTCGTCCGCTGATCCGCTGCAGCCCCAGTTCGCCAGCAGTTTGCCCTTCACCCCAAACCCCAAACCCTAAACCCTAAACCCTAAACCCTAAACCCTAATGGTTTGCTGCTGCAGCGGTGTGGAGGCTGTACACAATGCCTAGTGGGGAGGAGCTGCAGCGGGAGCAGCAGCAGCAGCAGCTGCTGCTGAGCATTTTCTTGCGGGGTCTCTCGGTGCAGCGGGACAGCAGCAGCAGCAGCAGCAGCAGCAGCAGCAGCAGCGCCAAGAGGCCTTGCTTGCCTGCAGCAGCAGCAGCAGCTGTTGCTGCTGTCTCAAAGGCCGGCCTCAAGAGTCTCTTCCTGCTGCTGGAGCAGCAGCTGCAGCGGCTGCTGCAGCAGCGGCGCGCTGCAGCAGCAGCCAAAAGGAAGCAGGCAGCAGCAGCAGCAGCAGCAGCAGCAGCAGCAGCAGAAGAAGAACCAGGTGCAGATTCAGACGAAGACAGTGGAGACGGCACAGCAGCAGCAGCAGCAGCAGCAGCAGCAGCAGCAGCAGAAGCAGCAGCAGCAGCAGCAGCAGCAGCAGAAGAGACAGAAGCTGCAGATGTTCCCTTCGAGCAGGGCAAGCAGCAAAAAGCTCTCTTTGTCTTTTGTCTCTCTTATTATTTCTTTTATCTTTTTTTCTTTTTTATTTTTAATTATTTTTAATTAAAAATAATTAATTTAATTTATTTTAAATATTTATTATCTTTTTATTTTCTAGTTTGTTAGCAGCTCGCGTTGCTGCTGCTGCTTCCCTGCGCAGCCCCCAGCGCCTAGGGTTTAGGGTTTAGGGTTTAGGGTTTAGGGTTTAGGGTTTAGGGTTTGCGCGCAGAGCTGGAGTCTTTCTTCGCCGAATGTGTCTCCTTAGAAACCCTTCCTTGGCTGCAGCCTCTGAGGCCTTTGCTGCTGCAGCAGGAAGCAGCAGCAGTGGTTCGCGTGGCCGCCTCCCTGGTGAGAAACCCTAAATTAGGGTTTAGGGTTTAGGGTTTAGGGTTTTTTCGCCTTTTCCCCCGATTCTCCCGCTTCCACGAACAAACAAACGGAGACATCAGCAGCTTATTCTTTTGTTATTTATTTATTTATTTATTTATTTATTTATTTATTTATTTATTTATTTATTTATTTATTTATTTATTTCAGGACCAAGGGCCCCCCGTGTCACTGTTTTGCTGCTTGCTGCTGCTGGAGCTGGGGGGGCAGCTAAAAGAGCAGCTGGTGCTGTTCTCCGGCTGCTGCTGCACTTTGCAGCAGCGGGAGGGCATAGCAGCAGCAGCAGCAGCACTGGAAGCAGCAGCAGAGCTGCTGCCGCGGCCGTGGCTGCAGCAGCAGCAGCAGCTGCTGCAGCTCTTTGCTGCTGAGCCTTACCTCGTTCGAAAGGCCCTTCTAGAAAGCCTCAAGTTGCTGCTGATAAAAGCCCACAGTGCAGCAGAAGAAGCAGCAGACACACGAGCAGCAGCAGCAGCAGCAGCAGCAGCAGCGCAGCGGCGCAGCAGCAGCAACGGGAACGCGGAGGGCTGGGACGGCTCCGAGAAGGAAGACAGCAGCGACGAGGGAGACTCCACACCTGCTGCTGCTGCTGCTGCTGCTGCGCTGCAGCAGCAGCAGCAGCAAGGAGGCAAGGACCCGCAGCAGCAGCAGGCGCGGGAAGCCCGCTTCTGGGGGCAGCAGCAGCAGCTGCTGCTGCAGCTGCTGCTGCTGCGGCTCGAAGACAAGCTGCCGCTAGCCCGCAGCTGGTGTTTAAAAGTGCTGGGGGAGCTGCTGGAAAAAGGGATTTTATCTGCTGCTGCTGCTGCTGCTGTTGCTGCTGCAGCAGCAGAAAGAGTCCGGGACAGAAGCTCGCTGGTGCGCGCTGCGGCGCTGCAGGTGATAACAGCAGCACTGCAGCAGGCTGTGCAGCAGCTGCAGCAGCAGCAGCAGCAGGAGCAGCAGGAGCTGCTGCTGCAGCAGCCTTTCGTGCTGCTGCTCGCAGACGAACACGGCGAGTTCAGGGCGAGGTATCAGCAGCAGCAGCTGCGCAAGCAGCAGCGACTGCTGCAGCTGCAGCAGCAGCAGCAGCAGCAGCAGCAGCAGCAAACAGCAGCTGCGTGCGAAGCAGCAGCGGAGGCAGCGGCAGACACGCCCACAAATGCTGCTGCTGCTGCTGCTGCTGCTGAGAGCTCTGAGGGCAAAGAGGGCTGCAATGGAGATGGGAAAGCAGCAGCAGCAGCAGCAGCAGCAGCAGCAGCAGCGCCAGATTCTGCTGCTGCTGCTGCTGCTGCTGCTGCTGAGGAGGAGGACCCTTTGCTGCAGCTGGTGGTAAAGGCCGAAGACGCGTTTGACACGGCGCTCTCTCTGTAGGTTTTTAATTAATTAATTTAATTAATTAATTTAATTAATTAATTAATTTAATTAATTAATTAATTAATTAATTAATTAATTAATTAATTAATTAATTAATTCTTATTTGCTGCTGCATGCAGAGCTGTGGAAATGCTTTGCTGCCCCTCGGACAGCGACCAGAAGGCGGCGCTGCGGTTCATAGTGGACAGCAGCAGCTTGCTGCTGCTGCAGCAGCAGAAGCTGCTGCTGCCGCTTCGTGCTGCACTTCGTTTGTCTTATTCTTGCGTGTCTTCTGTGGCGGAGTTTGCTGCTGCTCACCTGACGCGGCTGCTGCTGCACCCCAAGACGCTGCTGCTGCAGCAGCAGCTGCTGCAGCAGCAGAAGCAGCTCGCGGCCCTCCTCGTCAAGCGGAAGCTGCTGCAGCAGCAGCAGCCGCTGCAGCAGCAGCCCAGAAGGAGGAAGCAGCAGCAGCAGCAGGAGCCTGCCGAGGACGAGGAGCAGCAGCAGCAGCAGCAGCAGCTGCTGCAGCTGCTGCAGGCTGCAGCAAACGGCTCCTGCTACCGCTTTGCTGCTGCGCGGCTGCTGCTGCTGGTCTTTGCTGCTCAAATCAAAGACTTTGTGTCTCTTGAGAGACTCTTTTTGCTGCTGCTGCAGAGCAGCAGCAACTTCTTGCCCCCCCACCTCAAAAAGCTCATTCACGCCCTCTTCGTCCTCGCGCTCCAGCCCAGTAAACCCTAAACCCTAAACCCTAAACCCTAAACCCTAAACCCTAAACCCTAAACCCTAAACCCTAAACCCCCCTAAACCCTAAACCCTAAACCCTAAACCCTAAACCCTAAAACCCTAAACCCTAAACCCTAAACCCTAAACCTAAACCCTAAACCCTAAACCCTAAACCCTAAACCCTAAACCCTAAACCCTAAACCCTAAACCCCAAACCTAACCCCAAACCCTAAACCCTAAACCCCCTAAACCCTAAACCCTAAACCCTAAACCCTAAACCCTAAACCCTAAACCCTAAACCCTAAACCCTAACCCTGAAGGGCGAAATGTTGCACAGCGAAGTCAACAAACTGTTCACCAACGCGGGGGTGTTTCCCGCGCCCTGCATAAACCCTAAACCCTAAACCCTAAACCCTAAACCCTAAACCCTAAACCCTAAACCCTAAACCCTAAACCCCCCTAAACCCTAAACCCTAAACCCTAAACCCTAAACCCTAAACCCTAAACCCTAAACCCTAAACCCCAAACCTCCCTATAATCCCAATACTGCCTCGGGCGGTTTACGTTCGCGTCCGCGTAGTACCGCGCCACGTTTGGCTGCGCTGTCTTCCAAACTGCCCCTCGTGAAGCGCCACCTGGAGGCCTTCGCAGTCACTATTCTCGCAGTGGTCTAAACCCTAAACCCTAAACCCTAAACCCTAAACCCTAAACCCTAAACCCTAAACCCTAAACCCCAAACCTAACCCCAAACCCTAAACCCTAAACCCCCCCTAAACCCTAAACCCTAAACCCTAAACCCTAAACCCTAAACCCTAAACCCTAAACCCTAAACCCTACATGAGACACCAGAATTGGCAGTGAGTTGCATTAAGAAATAGCAGCATCTCTGCAGCCAATCTTACCGGCCTTTAACCCGCCGCCGCTGCTGCTGCTGCTGCTGTTGCTGCTGCTGCTGCTGTTGCTGCTGCTGCTGCTGCTGCTGTTGCTGCTGCTGCTGCTGCTGCAGATTTCTCCCTGGGGCGCGATGCTGTGCCTCGCTGTGCTGTGGGCTGCATCCGTTTGCTGCTGCTGGCGTCTCGGCGGGTCTTTGAGGTGCAGCAGCAGCAGCGGCCGCTGCAGCAGCAGCAGCAGCAGCTGCTGCTGCACCGCCTGACGGACACTCAGCTGCGGGCGCTCGAGGGCGCGCTGCGGCACCAGTCCGCCGCAGCAGCAGCAGCAGCAGCAGCGCGCAGCAGCAGCAGCAGCAGCAGCAGCAGCAGCAAGGGCAGTTTGCTGCTGTTTGGAGAACTCTGCTCCGTCTTGCCATTTGCTGCTTCTGAAGGAAGAGCAGCAGCAGCATCAATGAACGCCCTCAAGCTGCTCATGCAGCACTTGGGGACCACCGACACCAACTGGTGTGCTGCTGCTGCTGCTGCTGCTGCTGCTGTTGCTGTTGCTGCTGCTGCAGGTGTTGCTGTTGGTGCTGCTTCTGCTGCTTCTGCTGCTTCTGCTGCTGCTCGTGCTGGTGCTTTCTCAAATAATGTGCAGCACTTGCAAGCCAAGCGGCCGGTGCACCTTTTTTGCTGCTGCTGCTGCTGCTGCTGCTGCTGCTGCTGCTGCTGCTGCTGCTGCTGCTGCTGCTGCAGGTTTGCTGCTGCTCAAGCTGTGGTGGATGCCACGTTCACTCACTGCCCGCAGCCAGACGTCCTGTGGGGCCGTCTCTTAGCGCATGCTCTGCACCAGCTGCTGGCTGCTGCAGCACAGCAGCAGCAGCAGCAGCAGCAGCAGCAGCAGCAGCAGCAGCAGCCGCAGCGCGTGGCCACCGCGGCCTTGCCGCCGCCAGCAGAGCCGCCCTCAACGCCCGCGTCCTCTCCGTCCCCGCGCTCAGCAGCAGCAGCAGCAGCA